TCAGGATAATTAGAATTCGAATAAGTTCATAATAAATTCAGAAAAAAACAAAAGAGATGCAAAACGGCTCCAACACACACGTTTGATAAAAAAAATCAGAAATGAACACAAATTTTTACGTCAGCTGTCTTTAATCCATCCAAATACATCTGGTTAGCAAAAATGACCATTTCAAAGTACATTTCGAGAAACCTTTGATGAATGAGGACCTATTTTGTCGTGATCGCCTGCCATTTTTATGAGAGGAGATCTTTCGCTTTTGAGTCTGAATCTACAATAGATCTTTGGATTTAGAGGGATTATTCAAACTGCTCAGGATTGTGCAGAACGTGCACATTGAAAAAGAACAATTCGGTAGCAAAGGAATCTTTTCTAAAGCACTTTTTTGTTAGGCATGATGCTAAATGAGACAGCTTTAGAGGAGATAAAACATCATTCATAAATCTTTATCAATGTGGAGATAATGATACATGCAGTAAAATGGCACATTGAACATGACTGTTTCTGTCTGACAGGGATCAGAATCATCACCCGGGTCAGTTGAGGTCCAAAGTGAGGAGAGATACACGAAAACTGAGGCAGAGGTCTCTCTGTCTCTTATCCCGGTACCTGCTCATCTTCATGGCGAGGGTTATGTTTGGCTTCCGGGCCTCGGTGTGTCCAGGTCCTCACAGGATCTCACATCTCAGGCCAACGAGAACACGAGCTCGCAGCGGTGCCCCAGCGCTGAGCTGGACCCGGACGGTCCGGATTCTGCAGCGTGGAGCAACCAGTCAGATGACCAGTCCGGTCTGCACAGGCCTACCGTCCCTGACCCACCTCCTGACTACACCTCAGGGGGTTTCTGCGCCTGGCCTCAAATGGGTGCCATAGAAGCCTCGGGGTACTGCCACCTCCCCACGCCGTGCCAAGAAAAGGATTGTTTCACAGAGGACATTTGAAAGCATTCTTTTTTTTACTTTTTTTTTCTTTATTGCAAACTGCTCTAGCCCCTGTTCAAATAGCAGGCTAGCCACATTTTATCCTGACCTGTTCCACATTTGAATGTATTTTTGAAAAAACTTTATGAAGCTTTGAGCACAGCGACACTTCCTCCACACGGAAAATATTTCTATAAATAGTACCTGTCTTAATGCATAAAACCCTGAGATTGAAAGGTCAATCTATTAAATGATTACTTGCAGCAGTCTGTTCTTATCTTTATTTGATTGTATATCCTTCTCTCTTCTTTTCAAGATGCTGCCATTTTAGAAGAATAGAATTCACACTTGAATATCACTAGCATTATAAGTCATTGTCATAATAAATTAGGTCAAATAAAAGCCAAACGGCATTCAGAATTAGCAGAGGTACCCAGTGGTAGACTAAACTTTATATGCTGTACAGTGATCACATCTGCTTTTACTTTTTTTATGGGCAGCAACAATTGTCAACAATTAGGTCTCGACAATAGGGTTGTAAACAATGATTGTAGGATCAGTGTTTTCAACCCCTTCCTCCTCAGCACACACAGAAATGCTTTACACCAAAGGACACCATTTTTTTTTATTTTCATAGAGGTTCTCAGACTTGTGCTTCAGTTTATAATGTCCTATGTATTTTTTACGTTTTAAGGCCAGAAATATAGCTGCTTTTGATTAAAGATGTTTACAATGGCAACTTCACCCGCCCTGTTTTTTCTTCCTGTTATAAGATCACTTGTGCGCGCCCTCAGCAATGAAGCTTCACAGTCACAGGCTGCAGTATGTTGGTGTCCAGAAGGGGCAGCGTACCTTCATTTGGCCTGGGGTTGGATCAACCTTGTAAGAAGCAGTGGGACTGTTACACCCACAGTGGTGCAGGTTTAACGTGTGGACGTGTGATCGAAAAGCTAGTTTATTGCATTTTTGTGGCTGGATCTGTTTGATTACCAGGTCCTAAACTTTAAAAAAAAAAAGGGGGGGGGGGGGGTTACATTTTGTGCAGCAGTGGTGCAGTCACTGTGCAAACATCATTTCCTGATGCTGTCCTCAACCACCCTGTCACTCTTCCTGCGACCCTTTTGCGGTTTATAGAAGCTTATCAGTTTCAGTGCCAGTCCTCAGTGACTGGATTTTGAAATCGTTGCTTAGAAATGGTGAAGGGGCAGAAATTAGCCAAATGTGGGTCTGAACCTGGCACCGTAGAGCTTTGTTGTCGTACAGTTATGTAGTTAGTTTGTATTAGTCCGTTTTAATAATGACTTCTGAATCGTCTTTGTAGGATTTTCTTTCGTACAGGATGTGCAGAGGTGGCCACAGACGTTCAGCAATCATGTCAAAATGAAACCCTCCTCATTACTTTTTCAATGCTAAATTAGGGAAGTTGAAGCCGGCAAACTACGCCTCATGGGAAGAGCGTCTAAGTCAGCTGACCATTAGACGCATGTCTGCACAACGTGTGTGATTTAGAACCTTGTTGCCAACGTTATAGCCTAAGTGTTGCTGGACATATTGCTGTCTGAATATGTGATTTGCTCACGGTGCGGCGTTACATAAGGTGAAAGCTGGCGTTTCTCCAGCCCGGGGTCATCACTTCACATCTGAAGCCAAACAGGCTCAGACACTTATTCTAAATCATTGTGAATTCACAATGATGATTCACAATGATTCATGAGCACCACAATAGTTTCCTATTGCAAGTTACCCTGGTTTCCTGGCTGTCTGACAACATGAAGAACAGAGAAGTACTTTTTGTATTGTTTGATTTGTCCTAAAGATAACTCTAGCAGTCGTTGTTGTTGTCATTATATTTTAATCCTGGAAATGAGCATATAGAGGAGAATGAGTACCTGGCTGCTGCACCCTGATTGGGCCTGCGTCTGCTTCCCCCACCACTCCTAAGGTTCACCTCATTAAATAAATCTTTTTCACCCAGGATTCTGTCAATTATTTTGCCATGCCTCTTGCTTATTCATCTGTATTTGAGTTGTAGCCGCATTGCTCCCATTTGAGAGGCCATAAACCCTGTGAGTGTTTGTCATTGGTGTTTTGTCTGAAAGTTTAATGTGTTTGTACAGATGCGCCCGGCCAATAAAATTTGATTTAATGTCATTAACTAACTTCACACAGTTGGTTTATTCCCCTATTCAAAAGACTTGTGTCGCGTTGACTCAAATGATTGCCGGCATCCCTTGTATTGAGCTGCCAGACCTTCTATTTCTGGCACTTTATTCTTACAGCGACAAGTATCCACCCAAAAAAGAGGGAAATGAACACATATTTGAAAAGTGATTCATCTGTCTGTGATCTAACCAACTTCATCCTGTGAGGGATCTATGCCATCAAGCCCTGTTATTGTAGAGTCAGTGTAGGTTTGGTTGTCATTAGCCAGGCCCAACGTAGGATTCACTCTTACTTTACAATTACCACCTTTCTAATCTAAACCCAGTATCACTTTTTCCTTCCGGCTCAGGGATTCACACGGTCTGTCTTTGTCGCTGTACGAAGAGATTTTAGTCCCCGTAACGTGAAGTGCGCGCATAGGCACACGGTTTTTCACAGCGCTATCAAATTTATTGCTCTGTTTATCCTCACATCTGCTCAGCCTAACAGGCGTGTGGAGTTTCCACGGCCCGTCGGTTTTTCTGGAGGCAGGTGTGAGGCTGAAGTGCTTACGTCGTGCGCTTGTGTAACAGATTTATTTCACGGCGATCCTGTGCTGCCATGATCAGGGTTAGTCGGCGCTGCCTACCTCTGCAGAGGGAGCAACAATGGAGGAATTCCCAGCATGCTGACAGCGACTTCCCGAGAACCAGTCCGTTGCGAGGTACGACTTCCTGTCCGATGAGCCTGGAGGACGCTCTGACACAAAAGCTGACTGAAGTCAGGGCGCCCGCTGAGATGCTCGCCTTCATCTTAGTCTTTCTTCGAATCTATCTCAGGGTTCCTCGGTTGGTTGAGTCTGTGACGGGGTAGAGTGGTACTCTGGCTCACTGGTGAAAGGGGGAAAAAAATGGGCTTGGATAGAAAGAGCAGCTAGAGCGGCTGCACGCTCACCTGTGTGCAGCCCTGTCCCCGTCCTGTGCCTGTGCATAAAAACAGGAAAATAAAAGCAGTGGAAGGTGTGGGGAGTGCGTGGCGCCACACAGATGCTCGTATAACCTCCTGTTGGAAAAGCCTCCTGCTTCCTCTCTGAACGTGCATTGGGGAATCCAGGCCTGGTCCAAAGAGAGTCGCAGCAATAAAATGGCTTCCGTGGGAGTCTGGACAATTTTGAATATTCTTTTTTAGATTGGTTTAATGCCACGCAGATGTTCCTGGGTTTCCCCTTTTTTTTTTTTGGCCATTGGCAACAGAGTGAGTGTTGTATCTACATCATACACTGTATCTGTATCTGTATTTCACAAGTTTCTGTTCCTGATTTCATATAATCTTCTGTGTGTTTGCACTCCGCTTCACAAAGCATCACAAAGTTCATCTTTATCAGCTTTGACCTGAACTGTTTTGAGGACCTCTCTATACAAAGACACTTACAGTATTTTTCTTTGCTGTATACACTGGCCTCACTCTCTTTCTGGGTATTGATTGTCGAGAATTTATCACGAAAAGCTATCGGGGAGGTTCGAGATTTTTGGAACTGGTGAGTTTCTGTTGTCTAATTGCCATTTAAGTTGTTTCGCCAGAAGTTATTACCTCCTTCATGGATTTCTGAATCTCTCTTTGTGCACATTTATACCCAAACCAAGAGGTGAGTTGGGGAACAATACACAAGCCATATCATCTTTTATTGTCGGCAGGCCAGCTTTGAACCCTCCTGCGTCCTTAGTCACGGTCTGCGCTCCCCCCCAGAGACACGCCCACACCGGTGACCCCTGCTTGTGTTTGAATGAGTGCGAGCGGGCCTGTGTGTGTTTGTCACAGTCAACAAGCCCCAGCGCACATCCCCACTCGTTTTTGTTTGAAGCCCTGCGGGGGGTGGGGAGCGGCGGGGGCACCCAAGGAAGGCCAGGCATCCCACCTTGATGCTGAATTTGGAGACAGAGTGCTGTTTAGAAGTAGTAGGCCGGTGTGAGTCCGACTGTAGGACAGCTGCCCGAGTGCCCGAACGCACGCTGAGTTTAAGGGGTCGCACAGAGCGAACGGGAGAATATAACATCCAGATTCTACACATTACCACATGCCGGGCAATAGGATTTATTGGGAGTTTAATGAGTACCTTGCACGATCCCATTTAGACACGGCAACAAATGAGTTTTTGGCTCGTTCACACGCATAGCAGTGCAGCTGGTTGCTGAGTTGGGGGGATTCTGCTGCCAAAAGTCAAGTGGGTAATTGTGAAAAACAAACTACGAGAAGAGTGCGTGCCAGAGTTCACCTACAGTCCTTCAGCCCCATACCTCTTCCCCCCCACCCCCAAACCCCCTGCTTCTGTGTCTCATCAGACTGGAATAACCTCTTTGTGTGAGACTGTAATTAACTCACTCGATATAAAGAAGGGCTGAGCTTTAAGGAGCTGGGTTTTCTGGACTGATGCCCATGTCGCACATTGATTCAGAGGGAGCAGAGTATGCGGTGAATCCAAATCGTGTCAGAACGGTGTTGTTTTCTTCTAACTTTAACTTTATATAGCCTCTGATCCCTCAGGCTGGTCCCCTGATATTCAGTCTTGATTCGTGTATTCATGTTAATATTTTGTTTAGGTAAACACTTTTAAAAAGACCTTTAAGAAAACTTTTTGAAGAAAACAGAAAGTGGTGCAATGCTAATAACATCTGTGAGGCAAATGTTAGTGTGAGCTGAGTGAGTGTGTAGCTGTGTGCAATAAAATCATTTGATAACAAAAATAATCATAATAAATAATCATAATAACTAAATAAATGTAAAAGTTCTGTCGTTTTTTTTTTGTGTTCGTGTTAGCCCAGTTGTCACAGGTATCATAGCAAGACTAACATTATTCATATAAATATTTGTACGTTTACGAGGGAGGCTGCTTATTAGGCTACAAATGATCCCATTTCAACGTGCTAACATGCTAAATTAAATTAGTTAATGTTCTATAAACAGCTAAAGTGTGCATGACTGTCATCGTGTTGTTCAAATGAGGACACAAGTGGAATAAAAACTCAAACAATGTCAATTTAAGCACATTAGCTTCTTATACTCATATGAAAATAGCATTATTTGGCAACGTTATCACAAACATTCTCTTTTTTTCTCCACCATATCTTATAATAAAACAGACCACAATAAGTAACAGTTATAAGTTGGTACATAGGAAATACAAGCCGTGTTTTTCAATAATTTAAGATGTTTGGCTGACTATGAGTTGTTGGACACAGAATAGCATCAGCGGTGTGTTTCTACACGTCGTTACGGACAGAGATAAACAGGACAGAGAGACAATCTACATTAGCTAAACTTGGCTTCTTTTTTTTTGTTTTGTTTTGTTTGTTTTTGCAGTGTACTTACGTTGACCTTGTAGGTTTCCTGTAAAGGAATTAGTTTTTTAAATGGGGCGACGCCTCACAGAACGGCCGGAGCGCGTCTCAGCGTGGACCAGAAATCTGATTGTTTTCGAGCAAAAGAGAAACTGGGGAAGAGACCCCCGCCCCCCCCCTCTGTAGAAAACAAAGACCAGAGATACATTTGGTACAGCAGTAGCCCCTAAAAACACAAAAAACAAACACAACATGCACACACAGATGTTGAACACTGCACGGTACTGAGAGGTCACAGAGGGTTCTGACCTGCTTTTTTGTGTGTGGGGGGGGGGGAGGTTATATTAGTCTTTGCTCCTATTTAAAATAGCCAGACTGACTGTTGTGCATGATGTATATCAACAACATCTTCTTTGCAGTATTTGTACGGAGAGAGTTAATCCACAGTAACAGTAAAGATAAATAAATAATAGTCATAGCACATTAACGGCTCACAGGTCTTCTTTTTTTTGTTGTTGTTACGCCTGCGCATAAAATCTGTTCTCTTTTAATTCTCTATTCCTGTCTGCGTTCTATTCCAGTGTTTGCCGTGAGTTTAATGTAATTACAATGTGGTTTTAGTGAGCTAATGAAGGATATCACATGGACATGCTGCTGCTGACCACTGCGTCTCAGATGACCCAATTACAATTCAACGTTTATGTCCACATTCTGTAAATTTTTCCAAAACTATGTTCTCTTTTATCCCCCCCCCCTCTAATCTAACAGTGGTTATCACAAAATCGAGGCTTTCAGCTACAAGCTGTTATCCCCACATGGACGGGGCTCTGCCAACACTCACTCAGCGCAGATTCCGTCTGATGATAGATAAACGAGGATCCGAGAAGAGTTCTGAGATTGCACTAAGACCCACAGTTCTACAGCGGTGCTTTTTCGCGCCCCACACGACTCCGCGCACTTTCATCAGTCTGTAGTTGCCACGTTTTACTGTCCATCAGCGATTGTAGAGGCCATCTTTCTCTAAAGAAGGTCCTTCTCGTAAAAATATTCCATCTTCTTTTTCCCCCTCTTCTGTACTCCATCCAGGAATAGCTACAGGTTCAGCGGACAGTCATTAGTAGTGTTACTGAGGAGATCTCACAAGACGAGCGGGTTACTGACAAAAGAATAAATACTGAAACGAAGGCGTGGGGGGGGGTGTCCTTCGGCTTCATCTCTGGATTGTCCTCAAACGCACCGTGTTCACTGCGTGTTTCTGAGTGGGAAAGAAACAAAGGCTGCTTGACACTTTAATGACCCTGTGTTTCCAGCTCAGGGCGCGGCTTTGAGCCCCCCCTAAGCTCACCTGGGCTCACATGAGCATCGCTCTCATGGCTGCTTTGCTGATCCGTTTGCGATTCTTCCTCAGCCTCCTCCTCGCGCTGTGTGGACGATAGGGGAACCTGGAGCCCTCTGGGGAAGCCGGCTTCCGCGTGGTGGTTGTAGACGTCGTTGTCTCTTTAAGAGAAGAAACAAACAGCAGAGCGAAAGAAAAAAAATATTAACATTTTGCTTTTATGCTGACAAGATACACTTAGCTTTAATGGCCTTTCGGTCTCTGTTACCTGGTTTCTGTGTGGTTTGCAGACGGTGGTGAGGTTTCCCATGCAGGTGGTGCTGATTGTCTCTTTCTTCCTCTTCCCGCTTGATTTGCTGCTGTCGAAGAATCTCCTTCTCATGGTCTAACTTCTTATGGAGGAGAAGGAGCTCTTTTTTCTCTGCCTGTAATTTTTCTTCTTCGGCCTGTAACATCCCCACCACGTCGGGAGTCTCGTTTTCTCTCTGCCGGGGCTGCTGGCGAGGCTCTGGGTTTGGCTCTTTGGTCGGTCGGGGCCTGCTGCCCACTCTCTCCGCGGCGGCCTCCTCGCTTGGATTGAATTGGAACTGAGGATTTTCAGTGACCTGCTGAGAGAGTCCACTAGTTTGGCTCTTTGAAAGTCGGAATTTTTCTTCTTGCCCAGGCAGGCCGTGGGTCTGCATGTCTTCTTTTCCTGTGTTCACACTCTCCTCAGTGTTGTTGAACTGCGATCTATCCCCGCCTTCTCTCAACTTCGCCTTTTCCCCAGAGAGAACAGTTTTGTTGTCGTCTGACGGCTCGCCGTCCTCCCTCTCCAGGTTCTCCCGCTTGTGATTTTGACCCTCAGTCCCAAGAGGCCTGGTGGAGTTGTGAGTCCAGTGTGGGGCAAAAAGAACAGCTTCCCCAGAGCGAGATCCGTCCCCTCCAGTGAGGCTGTATGCCTCTCCAGGCTGAGTAAAGGTGTCTCCTCTGGGATTCCAGTGTTGATCCAGGAGATCCTCAAAATGGGCCCTCTGGTTTTGTTTCAGCTCATCCAAATGATGGAGTTCATCTTTGGAGTGCAACTTCACCTTGATGGTAATTTAAAACAAATTTAGTGTTAAAGAATACCAATTAATTACTTGAATACAAATACAGTGTTAGACAAAAAATCCAGAGGAATATAAGACAACACAACTTTCGAATGGCAACTGCCTATGAAACAATGGATTTTGTTTCAAAAGTCACCAAATATTTTGTATTTCAGTATTTTGCAGCTCGTGCACACTGCAGGATTGGTTTAAGAGCTTAAGAATTCATCCAGATTATGGTGGATGCTCAGTTATCAGTACCTGTCCCTGTGCAGGCCCCTGGATGACCGTCTGGTTTCGATGCAGGTGGCTGTGCGGCCTGCGTGAGGATTTTTTCTTGGGGATGGGGAGGCGTGGAGCCGGCTGACATCTGCACTCCACGTGATCCATGACTGAGACCACCGCTTTAGCGTAGGTGGGTCTTTTGTTGATGTACTCAATCTTCATGACCTGGAGTATTAGAGCAGAAAATGGTCGTTCATCAACAACCCGGGGACCGGCGAGCGCACATCGGATTGCCAAAAACACTAGCCAATCAGAGGCAAGGTTGGATGAGAAATCTGAGGTAGCTCAATTTACAGAGAATTCGAATTATTGGCAAAAGATTTAAACCTTCTGTTGCTGCTTCATTTTTCAAAATTATTCCGAATAAAAATTCAGCCCCAGCTCTGCCAGACCTTGCGACCGGTGACTCATACGGCCGATGTCATCCTGTGTGGACGTGCTGCTTTACCTGCAGGTATCTGGTGTGCGTGACCACAGGGACGCACTGCAGGCTCTTGGTGTTGCAGCAGCCGGAGCAGCGCTGCACTTCCACACACGGCGGCCACAGCAGGAAGTTGGCGTTGCTGCGGTCCAGCATGGCCCTGGTGACTTCCACCACCTCCGTTCGGACTTTACAAAGAGCCTGCTGAGCCGGCTGGGCGTCTAGGGGATCAAACGGGACAGAGTTTCAGCACCTTTATTCCTATTTGTTATAAGTTCATTCCCAGTGGGGTCGCATGAGGGCTGGAGCCTATGCCAGCTGACAACGGGGGAGAGGCAGGGTACACCCTGGACAGGTCACCAGTCAGAGACATACAACCACACACACTCACATTCACTCCTCACGGCAATTTAGAGTGTTCAGTTAACCTAACTTGCATGTTTTTGGACGGGGAGAAAAACAAACACGGGGAGAACATGGAAACTCCACACAGAAAGACCCCCGGTCTCCCAGGGATTCAAGCCAGGGACCTCTTGCTGTGAGGCGACGGTGCTAACCACCACACCACTGTGCTACCTAAAAAATACATAATCTACTAAATCTAAACTGTCATTTGAATTTATAGAGTGTTTCTTATGTGTGCAGTTTTGGTCCACATGTTTAGTCAACAGCTGTCTTACTTAAATCTTCCAAAAGGGAAGACGATAAGTATCATTGACCACTCACCGCTTTTAGTGTCCTTTTACAGTTTCAACTCTTGTCATTTCAGCTCAGTTTACGCTGGAAAAAAGCCGTCCGAAACAAAAGCGGTTAGGAGCTCATTGTGTCTGCACAACGCCACCCTCCCGCTGCTGTTTGTTTTTGCTTACATCAGAGCGGAAGCCAGCGTACAGTCCATAATGTGCACCATGCTTCACAGGTTTCTGAAGCTGGCCCCAAAAAGGGACACGCACACCACTCAGTGAGTCTGACACAGAGAATAATGAAGGGCTGTCTGCGTTTCCTCATCAGAGGGATGAAGCAGCAAAGTCACCTAGTTATAGATCTACGTTTAAGAACTCAGACAGCTTTATCATGGCTATGATTAACGCGTAAAAATGTCACATCCGTCACCTCGCAAGAAAGGAGGACTCAACACTTTTTACGGCTATCGTTACTGGGGAAAATACAGCCTGTTCACGTTCATGAAGAAACTCAGAGGTTCTTTATCATTCCATGATATTTGATTATTGGCACTTGTCGACACAGAAAATAACTTTTAGATATTTGGGGTGTGGCTTGAGAAGCCTCACACCATGTAGAATAGATAGAATCCTGTGCTCTAAAAGTCTCTAGCTCACCGAGGCTCCGTGGTAGTCTGTGTCCTCCATTGGCTGCAGAGGTGCCGTCCTCCTCATCTGAGACAAAACAATAAAACACAAACTGCATTTCACTCATTTTAAGTCAACCAATCGGATGAATTAAGACCTGTCTTTTTTTTTGGGGGGGTGGGGGGGGTCAGGTCTTCTGTGTTCTGTGGTGTACTAGCACCCTCTACATGTGAAGGCTGTTTATTTGCAGTTGAGAACGTTCTCTCCACTGAGATGGTTTGAGTCGTTCGGTGTAGTATCAGAAAGCTCTGTTCTTTACCTACGGAGTCAGAAAGCAGAAGCAGCTGGAGGTCCTCTATGGAAGAGATGGGGCTGTTTCTAACCAGCTCCACCAGGGCTGCAGGCAGAGCGTCCCCCTAAGAAACACACACATACACACACACACACACTCATCAGCTCACAGAAGAAGACAAATCAACCAACACACATTTCTAAGAACTAAATTTGAACTGAATAAAAGGGAAATAAAGATGATCTGTGATACCCTTATATGAGATCATTTTCCAAATACTTCCTTTGGAGGAGACGGCCCAATCCAGCGGCTTTGCATTTGGTGTTTAAAGCGCATGATGTTTCTATTTGTAAGTCTATTGGAAGATACAAATCTCAAACTAAAAATGTGACTTAAAGTAACAGCGGACATTTTCCTCGATGACATGATGCATCTAACCAAACATTTCCACAGTCCCTAACCACAGAAGAAACAAAAAAACAAGCAGCAGCTCCACATTGTGGCTGTAGGGATTTCACTGTGGGTTTAACCCCCCTCTGTTCATTAATGACAGCCAGGGAGGGGGAGAATTAACCAGAGCAGACACACAATGGTCACTAAGAGCAGGGTGAATGACTATTGGCGTTGTGTCCTCTCATCTGCTAACATTTAGGGGTCAAAGGAGCAAGGAAGGAGTCAGGAAGTGGGGGAAGGAGTGACATAGAGAGGATGAGAGAAGGGAGGTGCATCTGAAAAAAAAAGGAATAATAGGTGAATAAAAGACGGGTTGGAATGGTAGAGGGTAAGACCTGGGTCCAGGCACGGATTAGGATAACTTGCTTCGTCTTCCTGTAGAAGGATGGACATAAAATCATCTAAAAAGATGAAAAGACATCTGACTTTTTTTTTCTTGCTTTTTTTTTAATCGTAGGTTCATTTGAGTCAGCCCGCTGCACAGGACGGTGCGTGTGATTCCGTTCAGCTTCTGCACAACATAATGAATCCCAGCGGCGAGCGGGTGTTGGTGGAGGGAGGCGGCCATCTGAGCGTGAACGTGTGCTCTCACCCTGCCCACGCTGTTTGCCTTTGACATTCCCCCATTGTTGGTTTGCATTTCAGAGGGTCAGATCCTACAACAGGGAAGCGCCTGCTGTTCCACTCCTCTCCTCTCGTTTTGCGGAGCCGCCGATGCCCCTCAGGACTCATCAGCGTGATTTCCTCCCTTCGCCGACGGAGCAAGCCAGCCTGCTCGGCTAATTGTGTCCAATGTTAATTATGGGGTGTGTGTCTTTGTTCACGGTGGTGCCTGCTGTCATGGCAATTTGGGTCTAAGCAGGAAATATCAAATAAGCACTCAAGTGTTGAGAGCCACAATATGTAAACATGGTAAATGTGTATGTTTTTTTTTTTTAAAAAGGGCTCAAGGGCATGGACAGAGTATAGGGATGTAAGGGTACATATAAGAGTCTAATATAAAATCATTTGAAATAGGCCAAATTTAAGCAGCTTTCTCTCAGCATCTCAGAAACTAAGTCCACCGCTTCCCTAAACCCGCCTTCTTTGTGGTGTCATCTCTACCTTTTTTTCCGTTCTACGCAATCCGAAGCGCTCACTTTGACAAAAGCCAGAGCTTATCACCTGAGGCGGGTCCCCATCCCCTGGGGAACTATTGGACACAGTGAGGAATGCCAGGTACAGGCCCGGGGTAGGAGAGGGAGCATCTAATGGCCCATAATTAGGGGGGTCGGGTCTGCTGGCGGCGCGGCGGTAGCACATGTGGGAGGTTTCACGTGTAGCATCCGGGAGCGTGCCAACACGTGCGAGTGACTGTGAGTTTAATTAATTCCACTGTCATGATTTAGCTCAGAGTTTGGAATGGCGCCTGACGCAGTGAAGGGTAATTATGCCTTTTTGTTTGTTTAAAAAAATGTCTAGATTCCCCTTTGGTGGTCCCACGCTGAATCCATATGCTTCTAACCGCTGGCAAGAGATGGAGATAGAATGTTTATTAGCCCTGGTGTGGTAATCCTGTTTTAATAAGGAGCATAACTCAGCCAGCAGATTCCACGATCCCACAACTGTGATGCCTCAAACTTTGAAATGGGACTTGGGGAATTCCTGGTCGCGTACCTGAAAGCCTTTGTAGCTTCTCCCCCCGTAAAGCAAAGCGGCGTGACAAAACGGAGATTTTCTATTACAAATATATGTCCCCACAAAAGCTCAGAAATAAGAGGAATGAAAGGACCTCAAGTTCAACCGCTGCAGCTCCAACTCGACCTTCATGGGAGGCGGTAAAAGTCCAGTTCTTGGAATCAGGTGCTCCCAGAGAGAAGGCCACTTCATTCTCACCCATTCACAGAAAAGCATGCAAGGCTTTTCTCTTTTAGTCTACTGAACTAACATTATCCACTCAGATTTGGAATTTTAAAAACACACAAATCTACAATTCTCTGAGCAGGTTGAACCAATCTCTCTGAATGCCAAATGTTTTGGACATGGAGTGCCCTGCTCTCATAAACACTAAAATAAAACACTTCCTGTGAGATGGCCGTGACATTGCTTCTTTTCAAATTATCAGTCCAGCCTCACTTTACCCACCGGGGACCCTGGGTGAAGTTTCGACTTCCTGTTTGACCTCAGCAGATGGCAGGTCTTCGTCCAGCTACCCTTAAGTCTTGTTTCATCCCCTCATTCGCTTAGAATATTTGGGGAAAGTTTAGCTGAAAGATGGGCGCTGGAGCACCCCGTGTGTGGCCTGAGAGTGAAAACAGCCTCTGGAGCAGGACGCCGCCGCCGGCTGGCTGATTTATGGCTGCGTTCAACATCTGGAGCACCATCCGTGAGCACACCGCAGCACGCCGAGCATCCAGCTGTAGAGAAGCCATCATGGAATGTACCTTTTTCTCCCGCCCGTTCGCAAATCTAGCTCTAAAGTCTCCGATTGGGGGGGAAAACAGATATTGTTCTGCATCATCCCTCCACCTCTCACTGAACAAACATAGGATGGATTTTTATTTTCAATTATTATTATGGGCTAAGACATAAGCAGGTGCATTAAATTGTGTTTATTCTAAATGGGAAAAGGGGGGGTAGTTATTATCTGTCTGGTTTGTTTGGAGGACAACAGAAAAACACAGGATGCCACAGATTAAGATAGAAAGCAAACAAAAACGATAAATATAAAAGGCCCTAAATAACCAGCGTACGTGAAGTATTCTATCTATGTAAACACATTCAAATAAGTAGCAACCACAAAATGGCTAACAATACTCATAGTAGTCGAAATTTAAATTAGTTAAGGAACTTATTATGCCGGGGGGGGGGGGGAGAACCCCTCCTCCCGATGCTCATTGAAGTGTCTAAAAAAATTTTTTAAAAAGCTCGTGCTTCGTGTTTTAGGGGGACACTGTTCGGGAACTTTCTAACGGTCGTGGGACCGGACTCCGGCCGGACTCACCTCGGCTTGGCCGGACCGCGGACACGCCGCCAGCACCACGAGCAGCAGCTGCACCCACGAGCTCATCTTGCTGCCCAGCCTCGAGCCTCCTCGACGGACCGGGCATTTATGGAGGGGCGCGAGCGTCCGTGCTCAGCACCGCGCGCGGGGGGACAGCGGCTCGCCCTGCGGAGCTGCGCGCGCGCGCGCCCGCGCGTGCTGAAGCCTCCCCTCGACGCTGTGTCCCCGCAGAGCCGTCCGACTTTCGGAGGAAAGTCCAGACGAAGGCGCCCCGCGTTGCTCCTGCCTGGTCAAACTCTTTAGTCCAGCCTCGCAGAAAAAATAATATCGATTAAATTAAAAAAATATATGGATATATAATTTTAATAATCCCGGGTGATATAACCCTGAGTGTGTTTGTTTTTCAACTTTATGTCCCAGTCCCTCTGTTTTGACCTCACTGCTTTCACTGAGAAATGATTAAATCATGCCTCCAAGGATCCAAACTTGAAAAAAAAAATTAATAAAAGTATCCATCGGAATAGATTGAGAGCGAAGCATGAAAGTATTCCAAGTTTGTTCAAACGGGGTCTAATTGTAGAAGAAAAACATCATCGAAAATCCGCTAGACTTTTTTCCTTTCTTCTCCATTAACCGTGATATGATTCCAAAAAAAAAAAAAAAAAGAAAAAGAAATCCAGCTCACAGGCTGAAATAAACGTCGCGGGTTTTGGGGACGGTAGTTTGCGGTGTTCCTCTTCCACGGAGCCTTATCGCGCAGCAGAGTGCTGTGTGGCGCGGTGCGCCTGAGCCCTGGAGCAGCCTGATTACGCAGCGGCCGCAGCAGCATTGGTGGTGGTGGTGGAGGAGGAGGAGGAGGAGGAGGAGGAGGAGGAGGTGAGGATTTCCAAGAGAGCGCTTGTTGGTCTGCTCAACAGTATCTCTCTCCCGCCCCCTGCCTGAGGAACGGGCCAGAATCAGCAGCAGCAGTCCCCAGACAGCCGCCTCCCAGCGCGCAACTCCGTCCGTCCTGAGAGTCATTTATGCAGACATTTGTGAGGCCGGGCCAAGTTTTTTTTTCCTTTTCTCTACCTATTTCTTCTCTTATCATTCTGTCCTCTTTTTTTTTTGTTCCCTTTTCTTGCGGTTCTGGTGAAGGGGGAAGGGGGAGGGGGAGGGTGGGGGTGTCCATATCTGACCATTTTTTTTTGTGTGCTTTATAAAAGGCTCGTGAAAAAAGGCTATCAGTCCCACTGAGGAGGATAGTGATAAAACAGGCCTTGGCGTATATTTTCAGAGGGCAGAAATTGTATTTATTTTTACATTCTTGCTTAAAAGGCATGTGGCACAATCAAGTAATCCCCCATATACATTTGAACCTGTTCAATGTAGCCTTTCCAACATATGTAGCCACGTGACAACATAAAGGGCATAGATTCTTGTTTTCTGTGCAGTTGGACCCGTTTAGGCAGAGTTTGTCAGAATTAACTTTACTTCCAACTGTATATAGCACTATGGAGATTAGAACCCTATTAAAGTTTTTTAAGGCCCTAACTCTGTATTATATATTCAGTTAAACATAGGTACATTCAAAGGACAAACCAGTCAACTTAGCCGTGAACAAATCTGACATTAAATCTAGATTGTCACGAAGAATCACTTGTGCACATTTAATTTTTTCCATCTATTTTTGATCCCAAACATAATATTGTTTGAAAAAATGTTTGTATCAACATGGTGATTCACAAAGAGCAATCAGTCACATGTGTCAGCAGGGCCTATTTACAGAAAATATACACAACGGTTAAAAGTGATGTCCTTAACACTTTCTGGAAAAAAAGTCTTAACTGTTCTTTTAATTGATCCATCTATTCTTCTCAGAATCCTTATCATCTCCACAGACATCTGGCTGAGGGAGAAAGGCTGAGCTATGCCAAATGACACAAGAAAGTGACCTAAAATTGGTTGGAATCAGGTCTAATGAAGGGATGGATCCTCCCCAAAGCCGAGCCCTAAACATAACTGAAACTGGATTGGATCATCTTGACAGAGAATAAGAAAAAAAAAAATTTAGACTCATTTTAAAATGTGAGTCTGCCAATGTCCTCGTATGACTGACCTCTCTAAATTTAAATGACTAATAGCTCAGGAATGTTGAAAACCCTAAATTGTTTCATCAAGTGTATTTTTGGACAAACTAGACATGAAACTTCTGAATGTGTGAGCATTAGCCTCTTGCCTAACAAGCCTTTTAGCAGCTTCCTTGCGAAGAGGTCACCTGGATGGTTTCCATGCCAACTGACTCCTGTTATTACCACGACATCACCTCCAGTTAAGCTATCAGGAGGCAGGAGGTATTTCTGAAATATCACAGGCATTATTCACAAAGTCCTGACCTTTTTATGGTCACTGATGTTTGGGGAACATTTTTTAACAATGCCCAACGGTGACTCTGCATGTTCAGGCGGCGCAAGGCCGAAAATAGCATATCAGCCGGGCAACCTTGACTTCAAATGGCTTTTAATGCTATGAGACAGGAGGAAAAGAGCAAAAAAGTCCTGAGGCCAAAAGAATAAACATCTAAGTTACTCAGCTGTCTGAAACACAGTTCCTAACCAAGGCCGTCACTATGAAGAATGTTCCTACGGTCTTTTCTTCCAGTTCAGTTGTGCTCCGGTGAATAATAGGATGCCATTGTTTTTCTAACAAGAGGCAACGGAGGAAACCGCATGAGCTATGGAGCTATATTTACACCGAGTTTCATATTCACACGTTTTGACCAAGGCTGTTGCCAGTATTGTGACCAATACTGGGACACCAGTGTAGCGCAGTACTTAGGAAACGCTACAGATGACGCAAAAAGAACTGATTCCACGTGAAGACTTCAAAACTGACTCAATTAGGGGGTTTTTTTGCCAGCAGGGGGGCTATCTATGAGGAGTTAAATGATGTGTTGGTGTCATTTGCCGTATTCTTATGTAGAATGTTACCTCTGGGTGGGATCTTTTTTTTCTTTTTGCCTCAAAGTAACCATCCTCTTCACTCGTATCTGTGTTGCCAACTTTATGACAGAAAATCTGAGAGCATATTCAGTTTTACACTGAGGCTGTTGCTCCCACAACACGAGCTGTGTGCTGTGTTTGGTTTCTAAGGAGAGAGGAAAGAGGAGGAGGAGAGGGAGAAGGAAGAGGAGGGTGGGAAGGAGCAGGAGGGGGGGAACAGGTTTTTGACTAGAGGCAGGGATTTTCCCACAGCGACCACTCTCTCACACACGGTCACACACACACACACATACGCACGCACACACACACGCACACACACCTGCAACTGTACCATCTTACAACAGGCCTGCTGAGTTAGCCGTCCATCAGTCTCTGGAGTAACGACACTTTAATATGAAACAGACAGAGAAATGTGACTGTGAAGCCACCTGTACGTATAAAAGGAAAATACACACATATACTGTATATTATAGAGTAATTTTTTTTTGTTGGCAAATTTCATAAATCGCTACTCAATTTCCAAAGAAAACATAAAAAAGCATCAAATGTTTGAAGTAAGACGTTTGATTATTTCCTTGGAAAACGTCTGCTCATCTTGAACTTGAAAATGGGATGTTAATGTAATGTGTGTTATTGAAAAGAAAATACATTCAATAAGCTGAACTGGTGATGGGTGAGAAATATAGTAAGGGTTTTAGAAAGAACACCTTAGAGAAGCAGAGTCTGAAATGTAAAGATGGCACAGCAATCTGCAGAAATCGATTCATTCAGGAGCTATTCTAGAATAACGGTGTGGTATAGGTCGGTGGTAGAGCATAAGACTGCAGATCCAGAGGTCCCCAGTTGAACTCTCGGTGCCCCCCTACTTTGTAAGTCGCTTTGGACAAAAGCATCCGCTAAATGCATAAACGAAATGCTGATCAAAATATCTCTTAATTGAAGTCTATTGTGTCAAATAATGTACCTAACATAATTTGTGGAGGCATTTGTGAAAAGGCATACGTGTAAAAAACCAAATGGAGCAGCATTATAAACAGGTTTAACAGTCATGGAAATTACCTCTTGGGATCAGGACTATTTCTGGTGATGTTTGTCCATGAATGCAGGTCACCATTCCATTAAGAAATCCAGATTGAAGCTCTGCCATGCAAAGAAGACGTCCTGTGTGAGCCTGAAGAGTCTTGTCTTCTCTGAGCCAAGGCCAATTCACGTAAGAAGAGTCAAGGTAGAAAAACGTTCAGTGTTCTGCTGATAGAGACATGGAAATATTTCAGTCATGAACGTCCTCCAGACTAAACAGCACAAAGACTATCCGGCTTGTCATCTTAAAAAACCTGTATCTGAATTTTTTTCTGAGTTGTGCTGCTGCCATTAAAGTCAAGATGATGCTTGAATACCAACAGGCCTCATTTTCAGCATTTGATATTATGTGTAAAACCTTCTGTAATGAGATCACTGCATTCTTTTGCATCAACTCACATCTGACGAGCGCTCTCACGTGTTCAAGCAGACCCCTCTGCCCCAAAATATTGTCTCTCTTGTGCACATACACACACATCTGCACTCACAGAGAGCCCGTCACCATGTTAACCATGAGCGGAGGACAGAGGGCCCTCTATGTTTAACAACCGGGTGAGAAATGACAGCGCTCGCTCCAGCATTGAAGAGCTTTTCAGAGGATCCGGTAAGGGTCAGAGCACCCTGAACTGATCCTCTATCGAACAATGTCGGCATTTGATTTCATTTCTGTTGTTAGCTGAAAAGCCTCTGTGGTTAATTTGACACAGCCGTCGCATAGCTGGCATCTTCCCTTCCTCTCCGGCCAACTTCTCCAGATGAAAAATACGAACCCGTGTTTTCTGGGTTGTAACAGGGGACGCAGGGTTTGGGCACTGGTGTGTTTTTAAAGTAACGATGGGCACATTTTTGGCTGCCGTCGCACGCATCAAAGTGGAGATAAATGACCCTCGATTAGTTGTGGGGATAGTCTCTCCTCCGCGCGTGTGTCTGGGATGATAATACAGGCTCGTGTTGACCAGATAGACTAATGGGAAGTCATCGGTTGGCCCCCTTGGGACTCAAATATGACTCTCAGGTTTCCCAACAGCAGAATTGGGACTATGGCTTCAAACGCTCTGGTGCGGCAAACCAAAAAGAATAA